ATCTTTCAGTTACCTTTCCGAATCATTTTGAATCATCTCAATCGGACTTCGGATGCGAGAGTTATAACCCGAATGGTAAACTCTGAGAGAATAGGCGAGAATCTCGGATGCATGGAATTCGACTTGTCCAACGACTTCTTCTCTTTCTTTTCTTCCAATTCCAAGCCACGGACTCTTCAATAGTCTTATTCAGCCCTTTACTCTCCATTGACAGCTCGAATAATGTCTTTAAACTCGTACGCTTTCGCGTCTTCCAATTCTTTGTCATGGAGCATCTCTGGATCGTATCATTCTCCCCCTCTTTAAAAGGATTCGTCCTCGAATCCGGACAAATATCACAAGGAGTATAAACAAAATTGACTTCATGATCAACCTCCCTCTTTGGCAGCATACTAACACATCGTTGCACCACATCGCAGAACACACCATCTTGCAGCCATTGAAATGTGTACGAACATGGATATTTTGTAGCTCGAGTTCCCAATGTGTCCAACCTCTGTATAGAGGATGGATGAAGCATCTCTGTAGGCACCGCTATCTCATCAACATTCACACTGAGAGTTTGCACTTTTCTTAGCTCGGCATTAACTTCGATGCATGACTGGATCATATCATTCTCCACCTCTTCAAAAGGATTCGTCCTCGAATCCGAACCTTCCATTTCTTCTTCAAGTGGTGGGGCTGTTATGCACTTTTCATCCTCCATGGGCTGCAACTCAACAATATCGTCTTGCATCCCTTCAATTTTTGCACCAATGCTTTCGACGATGTCTTGAACATTTTCCTCCATGGGAATTTCAATGTTATCATTCCTCTGAGGTGGTGACACGTAAATAATCTTTTTCTCATTTGTAGATTCATCCTCAATGTTGGACCACAAGTTCACGAATTGCTTGCTCGGACACTCTCCTCTCTTGGTCTTGAATTGCTGCTCGGTTTTTGATTTCTCTCTTTTAGGCTTTTGCACCGATTCTCTCACCATGCTCGTTGGATAACTCATTTGCGATTCCCAACTCGGCGAACTCCGTTCTTCTGACTTAGTAACTTGCCTCGAGCTTTGCATCTTCAATTCCCTATAATAATGAGCAGGAACAAACCTCTTCCTCATAACTGCCTTCATGGACTCCCAATCATCAATTGGTGGTTCACCACAGCGGCGCCTAGTTAAGACAAATTGATCCCACCAAGTAATTGCATAGTCAATGAACGCTTCGACGGCGAGCTTCACCTTCTTCTTCTTGGAATAATAATGATAATCGAATACGAGCTCAAGCTTTCTTTCCCATTGTATGTACGCATCAGGATCACTCTTGCCTTGAAAAGATGGTATTGTCAACTTGAGTGAGCTGAAGTTTTGATCTACGCCATCTCTTTCTCGACCAAAATATCCTCGGCTCGATCTATCCAATCCAGACCCTCGTCCCATACTCTCCCTCCTTGATTTTGTAGCGTTAACACCAAAATTTCCATCACGATCTACCTCTTTGTCGGGATAAGGTATAACTGGTTGGTGAACATCACGTCGTACGTACGGCCCTCGAACATGTTGATCTTTGCGTAGTTCCTTTAGTTGGGTAATAATTCCTTCCATCCGATCTTGGAGTTCTTGGAAGCGTTTGTCCATTGACGT